GAGGTTAAGTGACTTGCCCAAGGTCACACAGCTAGTAAGTATCAAGTGTTTGATCTGAAGCCGGATTTGAACTCAAGTCCTCCTGACTTCAGGACTGATGCTCTATGCACTGTACCACCTAGCTGCCCAAAACACTCTTTTCTTGATAGAAGTTAGTACCTTCTTTGAAAAGGCTATAGGGCTGCTGGTTGGGTATAGAGAGGAAGTAGAAACTGGATCAGGTAGATGGTTGAACTTGAAAAAAGTCTTTAGTTAGAGTGCTGGACTTAGAGTTAGGAAGACCTGAATTTGAATCCTGCCTCAGAAACTCACTAGCTGTGTGATCCTGGGCAAGTCACTTCACTTCTGTCTGCCTCAGTTTCCTCAACTGTAAAATGGGAATGGGATATAGCAACTATTGCCCTGGGTTCTTTTGAGGATCAAGTAAGAGAACATATGTAGAATGCTTTGGAAAGCCTTTAAGTGCTCTGTAAATGCTAGCTATTTTTATTATCTATTGTTAGCAAATTAAGTTTTATCATTGGTGGTGGGATTGACACTGAAGATTCACCAGCTGTTATTGGAATAGCTTTTAAAGGGTAGATTATTTCCATTTTCAAGTTAAAAAGGAATAAAGCTTCTCTGTGATGATAAAAATGAATTCTGCCCCTTTCTCTTCTTCATTGCTTTCTCCCTCCAAAATTGTCAAATGGGGAGCTTCTTTACAAGTCTTAACTTTAAATCTAAAGTACCTTCTGAGTACATTCATCTGAAGACTGCTGGACATTGCATGTTCCTATGATTCTGTTTTATTTAGCAAAAAGGTTGCTTTTTAAAAAAAAATAGTCTGAATCAATACAATATCACAATGATTTCAAAACTGCAGGTGCACACATGATATTTGCAATGTTGAATTTATTTGCTTTGGAAAATGCAAATGAAATAGTTGAATTTATCAAGGAGAAGCTTTAGAAGAAAATGCTTGCCTAGCTCCCCTTCTCCAAGGGGTTGTTCTGGAAAGCTGACAAATTGGCATGTAACTGACTCTTCCAGTTAGATGCTCTTGAGGTTGGATTAAATTGAAAGTCAAGCTCAATAATTCCTGTAGATGCTGGAATCTTGGACAAGGCTTTGCTTTTTGTGGTCATGGCTTTTCACAGGAATATGGCAGTGAGACTTTAAAATGCCCAGGATGGATTCTTACCTGAGAGCATGGCTGTTGCATAGATTTGGGGCTGTTTTGCCCCCTCACTGTTTGATGTTCTTTTTTCTCAGGGCAAACAATAGCTGCAGAAGTCTCAGTTTTGTAATCGGCAGCGAGTGATGAAGTTCCTGATTCATAGTATTTCAGTCTTGCTTTCCCTGTCTCTGTTCTTTAGGGAGTCAGTATCCCCTGTCTGAGAAAGTGACTCCAAGCTTGACATGGACAGAGGCATTATTGCCCTCGTCCAACAAATCGAATACAATTGGGCCACTATAAAAGAAACTTCAAGCAAATGTGCCCCATTTAAAAACCTTACATAATCATAGCAGGTTTGGGTTTCCTACTTTCAAGCTTTCTTACCTCTTTGATTATCATAGGATCTGAAGAAAGGCATAGAATTTCAGGGGGAGAATCTGCAGGGGATATGACAATAAGGCTATTCATTCATGGCTCCTCTTTTATTAGCTCTCGCAGTATCTGCATCACTCCTAGGCTCTGGCTTTGCTAAAAGAATCTATTTAAACTCAACCCAACTCGCAAACTTAACTGATCCAGGAATTACTCAATACAACTAGGCAGCTACTGTACCTTTTTTTGATAAGGAGGTTTAATACAATGGGCTTTACAATTCTTAAATGACTCCACTTTTTTCTATCTTTGCAATGTGGTGCTTTTCTGACCTTTTGTTCTTAGTAAAATTCCTGCATAGTTTTGTGATATTTTTAAAAAGTATACACAAACACAACATCAACTCCCCACCCTGTGGAGTAAAAGTTTTAACTCCTGTAGATCAAGTGGAAGTGGAATTTATGCCTCCTGATGGATATTTACACAGCTGATTTAAGTGTACAGCAGAGCCTCTGGACAATATTAAATCTAAATAGAAACCTTCTTTTGGGAGGTATTGCTGATAGAATGTATAAGAGGGTTGACACTGTCCTAACTTTCTAGTGCTATTTATGAGTTCTACTCATCTAATGAAATGAACAATTTATAGTAGTTTACCTAAGATTTCAGTGAAACTGGTCAGGAAAAGTCTGAGAATCACTGTGTGAGTGAGAATCATTGGGTGACAGGACATGAATACAAAGAAGTGACGACTATGTGCATCTCCCTTCCTCACTCTGTCATCCATCAAGTAGATTGAGATCCCAAGTGGCTTGATGACCCCAACTGCCTAGTCAAGAGAACCTTCTGATTCAGAATTCTGAATAGCAAATCCAGGAGGATCTGGCCTTGTTTCTGTGCCTTAGAGTGGTGGTTCCCATCCTTTGGGTTGCAGACACCTTGAGGAGGAGGCAATGTCCTTACTTCAAGAGATATTTCTCATTAAATGACTTTGTATAATAAATAAACATCTTCTGTAGACTGATGTTACTGTTTTTAAATATACGTATAGTTTTATTGAGCTTATTATTATTATTAATAATAATAGTAATAGTGGTAGCTAGCATTTATATGGGGCAGCTAGGTGGCACAGTGGATAGAGTGCCAGGCCTGAAGTCAGGGAAGACTCATCTTCCCGAGTTCAAATCTGGCCTCAGACACTTACTAGCTGTGTGACCCTGGGCAAGTCACTTCTCTCTGTTTGCCTAAGTTCTTTATCTGTAAAATGAGTTGGAATAGGAGATGACAAACCACTCTAGTATCTTTGCCAAGAAAACCCCAAATGGCGTCACAAAGAGTCAGACATAACTGAAACAACTGAACAAAACATTTATAGAGCATTTTAAGCTTTGTAAAGCACTTTATACATGTTATCTTATTTGATCCTCATTACTAACCTGTGCTATTTATTATCACAATTTTCAGATAAGGCTGAGACATCACACAACTCGAAAGTGTCTGAGGCAATATTTGAACCTGGGTCTTCATGATTAAGGAAATATAAATTTATTTAATAGCATTCTTAAATGCATGGCAGCTTTTTTTCCCCTCATACATTTTCTGAATTGGTGGATACCAATAAGTGTATTTACCATCAAGGTCATCAAGATTTTTTGTTGTTGGAAAAGGGTACTCAAAAATGTAACTGGATAGAGCACCAGCCCTGAAGTCAGGAGGACCTGAGTTCAAATCCAGCCTCAGACCAAACACTTGACACTTACTAGCTGTGTGACCCTGGGCAAATCACTTAACCCCAATTGCCTAAAAAAAAATAATTGGTACTGTGGTTCAGATTGTCCCTACAATCCTCTTTGCCTCCTCAGTCTCTCCTCATCTACTGATTCCTTCTGTATTGCCTATAAAACACCCATGTCTTCTCCATCCTTAAAAAACTCTCACTAGACCCTATCACCCCATGTCTCTTCTTTGTCTGTAAAACTCCTACAAAAAGCTGTCTAGAATCATTGCCTATATTTCTCCTCTGACTGACTCACTTCTTAATCCTTTATAATCTGGCTTCAGAACTTATCATTGAATTGACATTGCTGTCTCTAAAATTACTATTGATTCCTTAGTTGACAAATCTAGTGTCCTTTTCCCAATTATCATACTTTCTGAACTCTCTGTAGCCTTTGCCACTGTTAACCACTTTCTCCTCCTGGATACTCTTTCTTCACTCAGTTTTCATGATACTACTCCTCTCCCTTCTACATATCTGACCTCTGGATCATCATTGATATTACATTACCTAAGTGTTGGTGTTCTCCAAGGCTCTACCCTGTGCCCTCTTCTCCTAGGTGACTTTATCAGCTCCCAAAGATTTACTTCTCATCTCTATACACATGACTCTCAGATCCATATATCCTGCCCTAGTCTTTCTCCTGAGCTCCAGGAAAGCATACCAATGTCTATTGGACAATGCAAACTGGATATCCTGTAGACATCTCAAACTCAACAAATCTAAACAGAACTCATTATGTCCCTCCTCCCACCCCCAAAATCTATTCCTTTCTAATGAACTTCCCTGTTACTATCCAGAACACTACTATCCTCCCAGTTCCCCAGCTTTATAACCTTGGTAATATCCTCTATTCCTCACTCTCTATCACCCCACTTATTTCCAAATCTTTCTTATTCCTTCATGACATCTCTTGACTATGTCCCTTTCTTTTCAGTCACATGACCATTGTCCTCATTCAAACCCTCATCACCTCTCACTTAGGTCTTCCTAATCCAGGTGTGTACATGTCAGTGTCCTTAGTACCTCTAGGCATAAATTATTTTGCTCTTAAAATCCTTCCCAACTTAACTTTTCAGTCTTATTACACAGTCTTGCCTCCCTTCTGTGGACCACTAGGTGGTCCCCCCACCCCTGTTACCCCTTCCCAGCTCCTTCTGCTTCTCTACCAGTGCTGTTTTATCTATTGGATAAATACCTATAGGTGAATATGCACATCTCACTTAATAAAATGGAAGGTCCTCCAGCGTAGTGGCTATTTCACTTTTGTCTTTGTATCTTCATTTTTAAGTTGTATATTTGTCATGTACCATTTAGAGAAACATGTAAAGCAGACTCTCTGGAAACTATGTGATATAAAATGCCTTCTATTTCTATACCTATTTTTTCCCTGGGAAAATCAGCTCTTTAGCTCATTAAGGCAGGTGGACTGTCTTCAACAAAAAGAGGAAGTAAATGGTTAAGAACACTCTGTATATTTGTAGCAGTCTGCCTGCCTGAGGTGTGTAGCCTGTCTACAAATCACACCTCCCAACTGGCTTGGCAGACTTCTGGTGGAAGGTGCTGGTACTTTTTGTGGGTTTTGTATTATTTCCTTTTTGGAACAAATCCAGCCATGAAATGATCCTGTGAATTTGCTCAAGTGTAGTCATCATTAGTAGTAATTACAATTCTGTCTCCTTTTGTTTTCAGGAATGCACTCCAGAAAATCTTGAATTGAAGAAGAAGGTTTTTTCTCAGTTAGACCTTATTATTGATGACAAAGTCATTTTAAGCAGCTCCAGCTCCTGCCTTTTGCCTTCAAAGATGTTTATGGGTTTGAAGCATGTAAAACAATGCATTGTGGCTCATCCTGTGAGTACCTAAGCATATGTTTTGATTTTTTTCTTCATCATTTCTTCTGTGAATTTTCTTACCAATCCACTAAGATTTTTCTAAGAACTACTCGTATATCCTACCATATAAAATAGGTATGAGTGCAATGTTTATATTGTAATAGGATTTATATGTAATTGCCACAAATTTACCTATTGTTTATGCCTAAATAATTATTCAGATTATTCCAAAACAGTTTTCAAATTAATAATACTACATCTGCAGCAATCATTATTCTCAAATTTTCTCTTCTTTTTATTAAATTCCACAAACAAACATTATGCTTAAGTAGTGAAAGGGACAGCTAGGTGGTGTAGTGGATAGAGTGCTGGGCTTGGAATCAGGAAGACTCATCTTCATGAGTTCAAATCCAGCCTCAGACACTTTCTAGTTGTGTTGCCTTGGGCAAGTCACTTAACCCTGTTTTCTTCAGTTCCTCATCTGTAAGATGAGCTGGAAAAGGAAATGGCAGGCTACTTTAGTATCTTTGCCAAGAAAACTCCCAAAAAGGGTCATGAAGAGTCAGACATGACTAAAAATGACTAAGCAACAAGAAATGTAGTGAAAGACTCTGTTTGGTGCTGGGGATATTAGGATAAAAAATGAGAGTCTCTTCCCTCAAGTAGTTTGTTTTCTATTGGAAGATGGGATAGGAAATGTGTACAAGTAAACAGATAATGTATAGAGGACAGAAAAAAAGATCTAGATACAGTACTGTAGGAAATTTCAGAGAGAAAATACTTTTAGTTAGGCAGATTGGGCAAGAAATCACAGTTGGAAATGAACTGGACCTTGAAGAATGGATAAGGTACTTAGACTCAGGAAATAATGGAAGCAAGACTAAAAGAATAGGAACAAGTGTATGTAGGTGGGATAGTGAAGAGACCAATCGGTCACTCAATAGAGTAGAAGGTTCAGAGTGGATGATGGTAGGATCATAGGGTTTGGAATTGGAAGTGAGCTTAAAGATCATCTAATTTAACTCTCTTATTTTGAAGAGGAAGAATCTAAGACCCACCCACAGAGGTATGTTGATTTGTCCCAAATTACGCAAATATGTTATGTAGTTAGTAGCTGAGCCAGGATTAGAACCCAGGTCTTCAGACTTTGAATCCAGTCCTCCTTTTATTGCATACTATTGAGTAGTGGGAAGTAAGGCTGGATAATTAGGTTGAGGTGAGATCATGGTAGTTGTTAACTCCAGGGAGAGGAGTTTGAGTGTGATGCATTAGGCATTTGGGGGCTGCTGAAAGTTCTGAAGATATTATAAAAGCACTATTTTAGGAAGATGAGCCTTGAAAATGGCACATAGGCTGGCTAAGAGAGACTTGAAGTAGAGAAACCAGTTAACTGAAGCTATGGTGGTCAACTGGGCATGAAGTGGTAAGTATCTGGATTGGGTAATGGAGTGAGAGGAAGGGGTGCATTGTAGAAAGATTTCTAAGGAGGAGTTAATAGAAATTCACGCTGGTTCTACCATGTTGAAGAGGTTTGGGGTACGATGACTACAGGCTCTTTGTGCTTTTTGAAGGCCAGCCTAACCAACTAACTTATAATCAGTAGGTTAGCCACCTGATGATAAATTGTTGAGCCGTAACAAACCATGAAACCAACAAAAGTGCAAGATGGCCCTCAGTTGTGTATTATTTCCTTCTGCTTCTACAGTAATGGGACAGAGTGATGGAAAATGTGAAAAATCAATTTTTAGACTATCTATAAACATTAACTGTCAGTACTTTAAATCTGAGTCTTTTATCGAGAGACCAGTGACCAACAAGTAGGCCTGCCATTGAATTAATGGAATCATAATCAGTTTAAGCATTCTCACCATAAGCTAAATAAAAATACAAAAGAAAGTGGTGGCTGAATGGAAGGATGGGTCATGGTTTCTTCATGGAGAAATAAATGAAGGCGTTAACAGAGTTTTACTGTGCATACAAAGACAACAAGAAATATGATATTTGGTGCACTCAGGATAAACATTTGGAAAAAAAGACCACCATGAAATTATTTGTAACCTACATGTCACCATCTGTTCAAGAAGTGTAGTAATTCCATGAATAACTCAATAATAGCCTTCAAATTAAATCATCATATACTTTAATACTTTATATCTTCTCTGCAAAGATGGATATAGGGGAAGACAATAAAAATTATGTTGGAAAACATGATTTAAGCGAGAGGCCAAAGACTTGTTGACTACATAGAAAGCCCAAGCCTATGTATTATGAATGTTTTCTTCAAGAAGAGAGTTGAGAGATGCTGGAAATGGTAAACGCCAAATAAAATCACACACAAAAATTGAAACTGATTATTTTCTAAGAAAAAAAAACCTAGTTACTAATAGAGTCATTTCTGAATCATAGTTTGTCAGACCATCAACTTGTTAAAGGTAAAAATCCATGTCAAAGTAGAAAAAAGAATAAAAATGGAAAGGTATAATATGTAATGTGATCTATTTAAACAGGTGTGGATTCTTAAAGAAGGAAAAATAGATTAAAAAAAAGACATTGTCACAGGTCCTCATCATTTCCTAAGGAACTTTAACCAATATAATCAATTTCCACAATGAAGAGATAAGAGAGCTTTGAAAATTCCTTTAGCTAGTGAACCCCTGATCTCCCTTTCAAGAAAACAACATGGCAATTAAGTACAACACTGGTTTAGATGATGGTGGAAGGATGATCAGTACCGACTCATAGCATCAAGAAAAGGTGGGGAAATATAAGAAGCAAGATGAGAGATCCAACTAAGCCAGGTTAGCCCAAATATACTTAGGAGTGATACTGAAGGGAGGACAATGGAAAGATAAAAAAAAATGGCAAAGACTTGCCAAGACTTCTACAACAAATTCTTTTTTTTTCTGTCAATGGCAGTTTGTCTACTATATTTGGACACTAATGTTACAGTCCTTAATATATTGCACAAGAAAGAAGAAATGTCAAGAAATTGACCTTCACTAAAGAAAACAAAGATGAGGAAAGCATTAAGATCACACCAAGTCCACCCAGATGGGGGTCAGTGCTGAAGATGATATAGTTTTGAGGGTGTAGAGGGATTGATTGTTAGGATTGCTGAAAGAGAACACCAAATTGAAAAAACTCTAAAACATTATTATTAAAAAAAAAGGCAACTCAGGAAATAGTAATAATCCATGATCCACATACTTATTTTCTTACCTCTACAAAATCTTTATGAAAATAATTTTCACGTACATATTAACATTTTTGAAACACCTTTGAGAGGGAACAAATAAGCTTTTGTAAAATATTTTACAGCAAACTGCATCTTTATTATCATAACTGAATGAAAGGTAGGAAGAATGTTAGGCTCTCCTCTGTTTGTTGTTTGTTGACTATACAAAAAAAGTATTAGATAGAGGAAAATACTGCCTTTAAGGCTTTCTTCCAACAAGATATCTGATACATAATTAAATCATATGAGTCTTTGAAAAATATAATAAGATAATTTTGTTTAGCAATCCTTTGATTATTACTATCAAGCAAGGGATAAAACATATGTATACTTGCCAGACATGTTTGCCATGGTCCTTAAGGATGTTCAATGCAGAATCCAAATGAAAGAGGGATTCTCTATAGAATCTTAACCTTTTGTGTGTCACAGATACCATTAGCAGCATGTTGAAGTCTATAGACCTTTTCTCAGGATAATGTTTTTAAATGCATAAAATAAAATGCATAGAATTACAAAAAGATCATGATTATGTTGAAATGCATTTATCAAAATATTAATGAAACAAATTTATGGACTCCAAATGAAGAACTCTTTCTATAGATGGTGGGTCCCTTCAAATGCTTCTGTCTGCAAATGACGTTATTCCAATTTCATTAATCCCTGGAACATAGGTCAAAAGAGTTTAGATTTTGGAAAACTGAGAGGATGAAGAATGGCTATTATTTAGATTATAATATGCAGATCCAAAATAGGATGCTTCATCAGTCAGTATATAGATACCACAGATGGGCGATGAATTGTATCTAAAATTGAATAGGAGAGGAATAAGCTAGATTTGGGAAATTGTGCATTGTTTTAGATAATCTCCAGCTCTTCCTTGAAACAAAGATCTGTATTTTTATTTTATTTTATTTTAGTTTATATTTTTATTGATAGCTTTTGTTTTCACATAACCTTTATTCCTGAATATATCTCTCTACCTGTTGTACCCAGCAAACCATCCCTCATAACAAAGACTAAAAACCAAAAAGTTCAGCAAAACTGAGCATTTAATCAGCTAAGTCTGTGTAATGTTTCATATCCATAGTCCTCTAGCTCAGGAAAGAATGGAGGAAAGTGAAATTTTTGGTTCTACTCCAGGACCAAGCTTGATCATTATAATTAACTAGCTTTCAGTGTTTTTTGTATCATTTCATAGAAATCTTACCAGACTTCTCTGAATTCTTCCCCTTTATTATTTCTTATGGTGCAGGAACATTCCATTATATCTGAATACCAAAATTTGTTTAGCTTTTCTCCAATCAATGGGCATTTATTTTGTTTTCAAGTTTTTGCTACTCTTTCCCCACCCCAATACTGCTATGAATATTTTGGTAAGACTTATCTTTTTAACACCAGCTTTATTTTGGTGATACTGTATGACTGTGAAAAATGGAATATCACAGTTTTTGAGGAATTAAAATTGCAGGCCATCCAAAGGGCACTGAGAAGGCATATGAGGTGGGTATGAATGGGCTGCAATATATCAACCAAGAATTGTGCAGGAGAAATGGTGAAAAGGATGTCATCAGAAAGATGATTTCCCAGAAAATGAAGTAGACTGACCAAAGTAAGAACGAATAATGGACATAACTTCTGTGAACTTCATTGTTTCCACAACATGTTAAGAGATCTAGAGTAAGACCCACAGTGATTGGGTGACCCTACTGGAGAGGATTTATGAGAGGCTATGGATGAGAGTTAAATAGGGTGAAAAGAAATGGATGAATTGTGATTTGTTCTGT